TAGGTTCAGGAATGGTCTCTATATAGGATATAGTGGCAATTGGCTGCTAGAAAGAACAAAAAACATCCTTTTTCTAATTTGCACCAAAAAATTTTCAGTTTTTTTTTGTTACACACTGTACATATTGTTGAAAGATTTTCTTTTTCTTTTTTTTTTTAAAAATAAAATATATATCAATCAATCAATTAAAAATCACCTGTGCAGTGACTGTATGAGATCTTGCAGGAAATAATTTTGTAATGCAAAATCTTTGTACAACAACAAGTGCCAATAATAATGATATGTTTTACATTTTTGTTAAAAAAAAAAAAATGTTGAAATCAATCACCAAAAAGAGAAAACAAGAAGAAATCTAAGATATTGCTGGTCATAAGAATGGTGGTGGTGGCTATTGCCACTTGCCATCACTCTAATTTTATAATAAATAAATATTGATATATATCCCATAGGTGGTGCACATTAGAACATAATGAATATATTAATGAAATGGGTCAGCAACATAAAAATTTATTGAAGAAAAGAATGGAAGAACAGGAAGAGTAAGTATGATCAGTCATGCAGTTGAAATATGTAACTTCTGATTATAAATGCATTATCTTTTGTGATTTCTTTTAGGAAGAAGAGAATGTTCTACAAGGGAACTCAAAAAAGTGAACCTGTTGATTATAGTGACAATATGGGTGAAACTGAATTTTCTGATTTGGATCATGTCATGAATAGAAGGTAAGTAATATACCAATATAAATGATGGGATATAGATTAATATTAAAAGACATCTGTCATATTTTAACAGAAGGCAGATAAAAGAAAATGGCGTGAATATGGTGTAGAAGAATCAAAGCTGTTGTGTACATGTTCATAATTCAAAGCATTGGTAATTTATTTACTGCACTCTATCAGTCATTCATTAGTTATTTTAAAATGTAAAATTTACATGGAAATATTTGTTAGGTGATCAGTTAATGCTTAGTAAGCTATGTCTTATAAATAAGCATGTATAAAAAGTTTCACATATCAAATCTGTAACACTACCAGGGTTGGAAAATTGACTGGTCCATTGAGAACAGATGGATTTTGGACTGGTCCATTGCCATTAATAAAATACCAAATATGGTTAAATTGTCACACTAATAGACCCAATAGACCGCCAATAGACCATCTATGGACCACACATTTGCCAACCCTGAACATTACCACTTGAATTCATTGATGTAGTGGATTTTTTAGCAGTCTTTGAACCTCTTTATATTCTTGTGGTAAGCATTTTTAAATATGCTGAATAATATTGTATGAACTTCATTATAATGTTCATACTTAATTTTCAGAGTGAGCTTGAAATTCAAACAGGTGTTATCAATAGATTAAGGCTATCTGAATCAGTTGTTGGCATTATTATACCACAAATTCAAGATTGGATTTGGCTTCCAAATTCAGTTTCTGCATGGGAATATAGAGATTCAAAATGAAGTGTGAATTAGAAGTGCATTGATATTTTCAATATGTTAATTGCTGATCCTTTTTATAATTGGCAGAAAATTAATAAGACAAAATATAACATTTAAGATAAATTTAAAATCTCAAAAGAACCAATATTAAATTCATTTCCTAATGTCAAAAATTTGCTATATTTCTGATACTCTTTTAAATAAAGGTGCTTTAGTAAGTGAATTACATTATGGACCATTCTCTTGTTATTGGTGGCAGTTTTCTGATAATGAAGTGTTTCCTATTTGCATTGAATGGGCATGAAATGTGTTGCACTACAGTGTAATTGCCAAGCAGTAATTAAATTGGTTGAAGAAGAAAATCATCTCCAGTGTTTCTGATCATAATCATGCTGCAGAGGCAAGCTGAGTTAAATGTTACAATGACTATTAATACTTTGAAAGAGAAACCAGTGAATTGCCTGTACAAGTTATTCTAACTGTATCTACTAATGAATAGTTCTCACATAATTCACACATACCTTTCATCTCATGATGCACTATGCCAATTAATTACTCAAATTTGGAGTTCTGATCTTCCTACAGAACCCGAATCTTATTATTCCTGAAGATTTATCAAAAACTCTAAATGGATCTGACTTTTTGATTAAGGATTCTGTTATGAATGGAGATAGAATATTGCTCTTTACAATCATTGTCAATGTTTGATATCTGGAACAATCCCCTTTCTAGGTTACGATTAACAAATCCTTTAATATCATTAATAATCTTCACCTAAACTCATTGACACTTTAATCCATGATATGAAATGAACTTTCAATGAAATGAACAGTTGATAAAATGAATAGTTGTAAAGTGAACTTTTGATAAAATGATAGTAATATGTTGGTAAAGTAAATACCCCCAAGGAAAAAAACTGTCAATAAGCTTTTGATTATTGAACCATTTTAAAAAAAAACAGATTCTGGTTATTAATCATTACTTATTTATAAACAAAAAGCATTCACTATTTGTTTCAACAATAGAAAATGATATTTGTATTATCAAAATTCACCATGAACATGAACTTATGATACATCACTAATTGAAGTTTGGAAAAAACTAACTATATTCAAAAATATGATGACCACCAACACTTTGGTTTATAATATTATTTTTCAAGATTTTGTTAAAAAATATAAAGTTCCAAAATATACACCATATTGAATGGAATAATTTTTCACTTCTACAAAAATCTTTATGACTACAATTTGTAGTTGCCTAAAATGGCATAAATTTTTTACTATATAATTGGTTGGAGAAGGAAAGTACAATAATTGAATTGTTTTCTCAGCTTGAAATAATTTACCAAACATGTTTTGACAAGCAAGTATTTTTCTTTCTTTCTCAAGCCACTTCTGAATTGCTTCTAATGTTTTTCTCCTATGATTTGTTTTTTGTTGGCAGAAGTTTTTTATTGTAGAAATAACAATTCATTTTCTTTCTTCAAGTAAAAAGTGAATTTCAATGGCCATTTCAATAAATGAAAATCGGGATTAAACTCAATCTTTTTGTCAGATAACTTTTTGAAATCCTTTTGAATATTTTTTATCACTAGTAAGTATGTACAATTATCTTTAAATTGCCATTTTTTTGGTTCTATGTTATTGATTATTTTGATCCATTTTTTGATTTACAATTTAGAGTTGATTTTTGTAAGTTTTATAGTGAAGCAAGAAACCAAGAAAGAGTCCAATAGATGGTCTATAAAAAATTTCACAATAAAAGTATGCATTTTTTAAGTGTTATTATGGATGAAAATATTTATTGATTATTTGTTTTTTAAACAAAATAAAATTGTATTCAATGATGATTATTTGAAAGTTTTGTTATTTGATTTTTTACAAAAAATAAGTGAATTGATGCTGCTTTTATAATGTTCTAACAAAAGACTGGATTATTACCTTGTTTTAATGTCAATAAGAGAAAAACAAGGATTTATAAATGTATTCTTGAATGATAATCAATATCATGATCATTAATTACACTTGCATAAAGGAGAATTGTCCTTGTAGTAAAGAAAAAGTAGATCAATATTGTAATAATAAGATTAATTCCCTTCTAGATTTCTACTTTTTGTCGGATGATAATGTACCTTTATTCCGCTTTCTTTCCCAATATTTATTTTTTTTTTCTCCACTGGCAAATTTCATAGGTAATACTTTCTTTCCTTAAATAAGCTTCAAGCATCTGAATATTAATTATTTTGAAAATGAGAGCATTTTTTTTTCTTCAAAATATTTCTGATAGTACTATAATTCTTTGAGTTTCATGTGGATCTGATATAAATTAATTTCATAATATTATTTTTATATAGGGGTCTGGGGCACTTCACTGACACCCACTTTACCAACAATCAAAGTAAAGTCGAACTTGACATAGAAATGGTCTTGCGAGGAACACCACGACCTCCACAGAAACTACAAGATCGTAATCGTGAAATACAGATTCAAACAGTATTAAATGACCGTAACATTAGATTTACTATAGAGTTTCTTCGGGCATTGCCCATAATATTTCATTTTAAAATTATTTTTTTGTGTATAAAAATAATATAATGTGTTACGATAAAAGTTTTTTTGTAAATGATTGTTAAATAAAAAAACATGAATATGCAAATTTTTAATCAATTTCATCAGACAAAAAAATATATTACACATATATCTACATTGTATTTTTGTGAACTGGTTTTTGATGCAAAGTAAGGATAATAGGTTGTGTTATTAGTTAATTAACGGTTGATTTAACTTGTAAAAAAACCAAACTTTTAGCTAGTTATCCAGGTCTTCTTCACACAGTCCTTGGCAAGTTGTTAACATAATGATTGATTGTCGGTAAAGTGTCCTGTCGGTAAAGTGTCTTGTCGGTAAAGTGTCCTGTCGGTAAGGTGTTCTGTCAGTAAGGTGTCCTGTTGGTAAGGTGTCTTGTCGGTAAAGTGTCCTGTCGGTAAAGTAAGTGTCTGTAAAGTGTCCGGGTCCGTTATATAGGGGTAGCTCTACAGTATATATACAATTATATTGATAATGACTAAATTTTGATCCCTGAAATTATTGGTATACAAATGTTCACTTTGCCTGGTTTTGTTGCAACATGTCCCAATGATATATTTGGAGTACTACCATATGTTGTACCAGAAGTTTTAAGGAAGAAACCATAGCATATATAGAAGTCAACAATCTTGAAAACCAATAACTCCACAAAAATTTTATGACAATGAAAAAAGTAAACCAATAAAATTAAAGCTAAGGACCTATGCTTCATTTCTATCAGTTTACTTTTCATTGTCACAAAATTTTTGTGGAGTTATTGAGTCTCAAAGTTGTGGCATTTTATATATGCTTACATGTAAACTTTAAATTCCCTTTTGGCAAATTTACTTTTAACAATTCTATTTGTTGGTAAAATCACGTGGTAATAGTAACTCAATTTTTTAATTAAACTAACTCATTTAAATTGTTTTAAAATAATTGAAAATATAAAAATCAAGAGAGAACTTCTAATGTTTTGTTTGTTAGGAAAAGACACAAGATTGATACTGGAGTTTCTGAATCGAATATGTACCTTTAAATTTGAATAATAAGGGAAATTGGATAAAATAGGGTCTGGAAACTTCTAATTGAGGTACCAAGCAAGCCAAGGTAAAAACATATTTAATATAGAAAAGTGAAAAATGTCATCATTATTGATGGTAAAATACATCAAAAGGTCCAAGACTTTTTAAGTGATATAAATTTTTTTAAGGTGTTTTAATTAAAGATAAAACCTTTGTTTTCTTCACTTCGAAATACATCAATGCTGGAAAAATCAATCTAATCTAGTTTAGAATGATATTTAATGGGTCCCTTTTATAAATTCAAAATTATTGAACACCAAAATTATGGAGTCATTTCAATATTGACACCATTTCTGATAAAACTTGATTATTGGTAATACAATTGTGGCATTGATTGATTGGCTCAATAAAATCAATGTTTTTAATAGAGAAAAAAAAAATTAAACCCGTATATATTTATTGCTGAGAAAAATTTTATTTCACAAAATTTTTCCCAAATCATACAACAATGAGCTGTAAGCATTATATTTATTTTATTTTTTGTTTAGAGATTTTATTAAAATATTTAAACAAAATGTTTTTGTAGTTCGCTTTTTAAATCTCATCAGACCTTTTATGTCCGTACTTCCGGAGGTTACAGCTCCTGAAAGAAAGGTTGGTAGTTAATTAAAATAATTAGTCATATTTTTCAAAATTCAATGAATAATTTTTTAAAAAAATTTTAAAGATACCCTTTCGCCAAAAAATCTTGTGGACAGCTGTTACACTCCTTATTTTTTTGGTGTGTTCGCAAATTCCATTATATGGCATAATGTCATCTGATTCATCCGATCCTTTATACTGGTTGCGTGTGATTCTTGCTTCTAACAGAGGTACATTGATGGAGTTGGGTATAACACCTATTGTAACATCAGGAATGATCATGCAACTTTTAGCTGGGGCAAATTTGATTGATGTCGATTTCAATTTGAAAGAAGATAGAGCACTATTTAGTGGTGCTCAGAAACTTTTTGCGATGGTTTTTGCTTTTGGTCAAGCTACTGTATCTGTAATGACTGGGTTATATGGTAACCCATCAGAAATTGGAGCTGGGGTTTGTCTGTTACTTGTCATTCAATTAGTTTTTGCTGGTCTCATCTCTATGTTGTTGGATGAACTACTTCAAAAAGGTTATGGTTTGGGATCTGGAATTTCACTTTTTATTGCTACAAATATTTGCGAATCAATAGTTTGGAAAGCATTTAGTCCAACAACTGTTAATACAGGTCGTGGTCCTGAATTTGAAGGAGCTTTGGTTGCATTGATCTACCTACTTTTCACTCGTAATGATAAAACTCGTGCACTGAAAGAAGCATTCTATAGAACAAATTTACCAAATGTCATGAATTTAATATCAACTGTGGTCGTTTTTGCTATTGTCATCTATCTTCAAGGTTTTCGTGTTGAAATTCCTGTCAAATCAAATCGTTTTCGTGGTCAATATGGAGCTTACCCTATAAAGTTGTTTTACACTTCAAACATGCCTATCATGCTTCAATCGGCTCTTACCTCTAATGTTTTCTTGATTTCACAAATGTTGTATAATCGATTTCCTGATAACTTTCTCGTTAGACTTTTGGGTGTTTGGACTGTAAGTTTTTTTTTCCATACAAAAAATTTATTGTAAATACATAAAAAAATACACATACACATACACATACACATATTAATTGTTCATAATTTATTATAGCCATTTGAAGGATCCTCACAACTGTTTGCATCAGGTGGCCTTGCATATTTCATATCACCACCACAAAGTATAATTGATGCCATCAAAGATCCAATACACACAGTGATTTATATTGTTTTCATGCTATCAGCATGTGCGCTTTTCTCCAAAACTTGGATTGAAATTTCGGGATCTTCACCACGTGATGTAGCTAAGCAACTTAAAGAACAAGGTATGGTGATTGTTGGGTATCGTGAATCATCAATGTACAAAGAATTAAAACGTATCATTCCTATTGCTGCTGCTTTTGGTGGTGCTTGCATTGGAGCTTTATCTGTTAGTGCCGATCTACTTGGTAAATAATTCGGCTGTTTTATTTAATTTTTAAATATGTAAGGCAATGAATTAATTAATATATATGTTTAATTATATACATTTATGTTATAAAAAGGTGCTCTTGGATCAGGTACAGGTATATTATTAGCAACCACTATCATATACTCGTATTTTGAAATGTTTGTCAAGGTATGTACAAATAAATTTTTTTTTTTCATAAAATTTATTTATTTACATTAAATTTTTTTTGATTATACAGGAACAAGCTGCTGAAGGAGGTCTTGATGGAATGTTATTCTAATAAATAAAATAAATAAATAATTCTTTACACACCCATGCACACACACACTTACACACACATATATATACTGTAAATATTTATAATTTTAATTTTAATTAATTTAAATTGCATCAAGCGTAGGAAAAAAATACTTTTATGTATTTTCCTTTTTATTTTTTTTTAATTAAATAGATTAAAATGTAATTTAATCATAAATTGAAACTTAATAGCATTTGGTTGATCTATTGATTTGATCTGTTATATATATATAGTTTGACTTGCTAGTCTAATTCATAAAGGTTTTGATAATAATTTACACATTGGGTGTACCAATGTGAATATGTCCTTCAAACATCACATCATCTTTTAAAAATTCTTTAAAGAAATTCAAAAGTATTTAACAAATGGGTAATTTTGGTGTTTGTTATATTATATATATGATAAATTTTCAACCTTTATTTGGATTCTTGAATTTTCTTAATTTTTCCAATTACCTAGATTTTTTTTTAAGGTAATGGATTCTTTATGGAAGGTTCTTTTGAAATGAAATTGGAAATTTCTTGGTCCCAATACTATTGTTATCAATGTACATATTAATGTCTCGTTTAATTAATTAAAATAAAGTAAAAGGCACACTTGGTCAAAAAACCACATAATAATTATATAAATAATATTAGTAATAAATTTCAAACTTCTGTGTTCATTATACGTACACATTAATGTCTCATAAATGAATCAAATGAAGTAAAAGGCATAATCAGTCATACCCATGCTACATGGTATTCCTAAACTTTTATAATGTAAAGTTATTTTTTTTTTAATATTAAAAATTTAAATTCTATTGGAAGGAATAGGAACATTTAAGGGTATTTTCTTGATAGTCAGAATAACTTTGTGGTTTATTGCAAATTCCTGGATATTATTATTGCTGTTGTCATTATTGTTATCGTTGTTTCGTGTTTATTATGCTCATGGTCCCAATGACTTTCCATCAAATAATTGGGCCTGATGACTTCTACATGTCTTCACTGAATGTGATGGAATATTTTTCTAGGTTTTACATTCACATCAACTTGAATCAATTTCATGCAATCTAAACATACCGTCATATTACTTTTATGCAGTTAAGGTCTATAGTATAATATTCTAGCTTGCCATTTCCAAATGATGTAAATAAACAATGCATATGGTAAATGCTCATTTTCCTTTAGAGACCAGCTCTTGAAGAGGAATGCAAACTTTCATCGCCCATTGTTTAGGAGTGATGTAGACAACACTATACAAGGATCAGCAGCAAACATTATATAATTCGAAAAACACTTTTTAAAAAACAAGCTGATCACCTCATTGTAAAGTCATCAATATTTGATAAATCATTTCCAAACAAAAATTTTCAATCTAGGACAAAAAGCTAGCACAAGTTTAAAAATTGCGCAAAAACGCACTTAAAAATAATTAAATAAAACCCGTCATTTGTAACTTAGGTTCACCGAATTATATGTGCAAAGTTTCATATTTATCTATCTCTGGCATTTTTATTCTAAAAAAAAAAATAAAAAATTTTTGACAAAATTTTACAATAATTAATTAAGGCCGCTCCAATTCTGCTTGGCATGCTTTCAATCAATTTTTGTTAGAACGTCATTTGTAATTTTTCATATTTTTTGGGCATTTCCTTATTCTCCTTTCCAACTCTGACCATAAATGCACAATATATATTTTATAATTGGGTACATTATTTTCACCGTGTTAAGGCTAACATTTTGACTCAGCAACGGTAATTTCTATAGATATTTTATCAAGATGTCTCTATATATGAAAATTTGCATGCATAATTTGGTCAGCCTAAGCTACAAAATGACAGTTTTGTTTGATTATTATAAAGTATATTTTTTTGCAATTAATTTTTATTAAACATGCGCTATATATATAGTTCTTTGTCCGCGTACATATATTTATTTTAAATAAAAATATTATTATTACAAAAATTTTCTATACAAAGATTAATTTGTTTTTGAATTACTACCATAATATCTACCAAGACCATATTTCTCACATAATTTTAAAACTTCAGGTAAATCAAATAATTGTTTTTTATCATGGAAAACCAATGTCACCTCACCAGAACCATTCCCTTCATTATATACTTGACCTCTAATAATTCTTCTTGCAACACGAATAACATCACTTAATGTAAGATTGTCTATTTTTTGACACATTTCTTCAATTGGAATTTTTTTGCCAAATACTTGAACCTATATTAATAATAATAAAAAATTAATTAATTAACAAATTTATTGTAACAATAGTAATAATATATAGTTTCTTAGAAAAACAGTAACCTGTCTTCCTAAATCTTCTAATTGCACCATTCTAGACTCTAAACTCATTAACAAATTGCTTTTCAACTGATTCTTTGCACGAAATAATTCTGCATTTGTAATAGAATTATAACCATCAAAAGTAGTTAAAGTATCAAATTGTTGACCCAAAACCTCCAATAAAATTGAACTATATTCTGAATCACATGAAGCCATTATACCAAATAAACCAGAATCTGTATAACAATGATTAAAGCACACACATGATTCCATCCAAGAGTATTGATTTAATACACTAGTAAATAATCGAGTGTACATCCCTTTACCAGGTCCACCTGCTGAAAATGAACCACCTCCACCTAAAAGTGATTGGAGTATTGCCAGTGCATAAATGTCTGGATCATGTACAGACAATCCTTCAAAAGCTAGCTGGACATGAGTTTTATCAGATGATTGTTCAACTACACCACCTAAACCACCTGTATAATGTGATTTTTGTATCAAAAGTGGTTGTGATAATTGTTGTTGTTGCTGATCTTGAAAAGATGGTGGAATAGAAGAAGGATCCTTTGGTTTTAAAAATGATGAAGCTAAAGTTGTTATTGTTTTGTATAATGATGGTTGCTTATTATAATTTGAAGGTATTGGTGTTGGTGGTAATGTTGAAGGGGGTGGTGTATTTAGATTAAGTGAATTATTATTTTCTAGAGATAAATCAACAGTAGATTTTTTCATATCGCCAAAATTTTTATAAACCAAATCAACAACTTCATCATGATCTGCACCAATTGCAGCAACAACAATTCGTTCTGGTACATACCAAGTTGACATAAACTCTTTAATTAAATTAGGAGTTATCTGGTATAATCTTTCCTCAGGACATAGAATAGGATTACCCAATGTATTATTTTTATAACCAACAATATGAAGTATCTCACCTAATGATATATCAGGCTTTTGATTTACTTCATTGATTTCATATAATATTGATTGTTGTTGTTCAATAACTTCATTTTGAGAAATTAGTGGGTTACGAATAACATCAGCAAATAATGATATCACTTTTGATAAATCTTGTGGAAAAATTGCTGATTGATATGTAATTGCTTCACGATTACTTCCACACATTATATTAGATCCTAATGATTCCATTGTTTCAATCATTTTTTCTTCTGATCGGTTTTCTGTACTCTAAAAAATAAAAAAATGATTAATTACATTATTATTTATTGCTGCTCTTTCTATATATACATATATACATACATAGATATAAATACCTTGAAAGCTAATCGATCTATAAAATGACACACCCCGATATTTTTTTCAGTTTCATATCTTGAACCTGTATCAACATATACTCCAACTGCTGAAAAGTGACCAGGTATATTTTGAGTTGTAACACGTACACCATTTGGCAGAGTAGTTATTTTTGCAACATTATTATTTATATTTGATGATGTTGATAATACATTTGAAACCTATTCATTTATTATTCATTTAGCAATAAATTATAAATTTTTTACATGTATAATATATAAAATAATAAATAGTTGGACAAACTTTTGTTGTTGAATTCAATGAATTTGTTGTTGTAGAAGCAAACCTATATGTTTTTGATAAATTTTGTTGAACTTGTCGATGAAAAGTTTTGGACAACGATAATCTTAATCTTAATGCTAACATTATTTCTATTATCATAAAAAATTTTCAAAATTTAGATTTTGTTGATTGTTGGACACGTGACATAGAGGATGGTCACACGAATTTACTTATTATCCTGGTGGATATATACAGAAAGTCACGGTCATATGATAATTTTCTTTTTTTGGGTGATGAATCGGAGTTGAGTTATCTTGTTTCTAATTTTGCTAAAGCATCTTATACTATAATACTATTTGTTTTTTGTTAACAAAATATTGTCAGTTTGGCAATTCATCTTAATCTCATTTTAAGATGATGATCTCAAGCGCACATACCGTATATTTAGATAAATAATATAAATCTATATAATCAAGTGTTTTAACAAATGAATCACCAGAAAAATCTTCACTCCATGGATCGTATCCTAATTATTCATCGCCATACTATTATTATTATGAATTTTATGAAAAACTTGCTTGAATCAAATAAACTCATTGCCGTGCTCCAATGTCCAATGGTTATAAAAAGCTCATACAAAATTACTAAAAAAGAATGCACAAAGCATTTTGAGTAATAGTAGTTTAATCATTACTATCTATAATCAAGATACATAAGAAAAAATTTTAAAATTCGTTATGCCAAAATTACTAATGCTAATTGCATTTCACTTGACTGTACTATTATTATTATTTTTTTAGATTAGTATTAACATTAAGACCTAATGGCTAATCCGTGTAAAAACATTCATTGTATATGTGGTTCCCAATAACTGTTTCCCTTCCAAGACGTTCGTTTCCTCAACAGAACGTTTCTCCCTCCCCGAGACATTTTCTAATACATTCTATCAGTTTAACATAATATTTCTTTTATTTTCCTACCATAACTATATCATGTCATTCATTACTATAATTATTCATTAATGACATATATGTGATGTTGGCCAATTAGCTGACTAATAAACGGTTTAACAGGCTTAAAAGGCTTAGCAGACTTAATAGACCTAAACAGATTAGCCAGCTAATCAGCTAACATTACCTGACATGATATAGTTATGGCAGGAAAATAAAAGAAATGTTATGCTAAACTGATAGGATGTATTAGAAAACATCTTGCCGGTATAACGTCCTGTCAGTAATCAGTGTTGGGGGAAGCGTCTGTCAGAGGAAACCAAACAAAATAAAATAATAACCTTACATTAAAAGAACTTCAAATACATTTGAAAAATAATACCATTGCCAAGATTTTTTTATACAGTTGTTTGATAAAGCAGTTTCAAAATATGAAGACCTTGCTTTTAAAATAGTAAAATGAGTTTTAAAAGTCATAACATCTTTATCCACTCCAACTTGGATTTCTACATGATACAATAAATCACTTACAAGTTCACTAGTATATTTAATGGTGATGTATTGTTGGAAATGATAAAGTCGTTAACTAAGAAGTTCTAATGATGAAAAGCAAAGTTAACATTTTGTAAAAAAAAACAAAAAAAATTTATTACTATTATATATATCTTCAATAAAAATTTTGTCAGCTAATACTATATATAATTCATAAATATATAAATACATAAATACAATGTGTAAATTATTTTTTTTTTGATATTTGATAAACTTCACATTCTCCTACCAAATGAATAATCTTATATTTATTTTTAAAATTTAAATCACTTTTATAAGAAGGAGACTTATGGTTATAATAACAATAAGGTTTATTACTATAATATAGACGTAAATCACAAAAATTTATAGAAATTTCGTGAAATTTTACACTATCAATAGTTTCAGCAATCTCTCGTTCATTATGAAATATTGCATATCCTGGTTTTTTAATTTTACTTAATTTTGAGTTATTTATCTGATTTTCATCGATTTTGAAAATGAAACTTTTATCTGTTTCAATGAAATATCGATCATTTGGAGACTTTTCTTTTATATTCCATCCAACTGGATTATAACCACCAATCAATTCTCCAGTATTTTTAATTTTCATAACGAACACAGTTTGTTCAGTATTATAACATTTATCCTCAAATGCAGATCTAGAGAATCCATCTTTAGTACCCCGAAAAATCAATTCAAAATCATAAGGCATTTTGTATTCTTTAATTTTGCGATTAATCCAAGTTGAAATTAGAGTTTTCATTTCCGAATCTAATAAATGTTCTGGTTTTTTTTTAATGATTGTCCCAATTTTTGTTTTTGTTCTTGGACCCTTTTGAGGTAATAGATTTGGTTCCAATTCATCATTAAAATAGTATTGAAGAACTTCCTTGTACAATTTTTTATCAAAGATTTTTTCAAATGGTAGAATATTACGAGAAAAATCACTTTGAGAGATTTGGTTGAATCTTATCAAAGGAATAATATCTTCCATTTTATTTTTTAACGCAATGAAATCATCTTTATTCCACTTTGAAATGTCTTTGTCCAGACTTTTATTGTCATGTTTTCCCCATCGAATGACAATATCCCAAACATCAATTTCTTCTAATTCTAAGTCATCTCTCTCTAACATAGTTAGAAGCATGGGTTTTTCAATTGTCATAATATCATTTGATTTAAAAATTAATCCTGGATTTTTATCGATCATCTGATAACAATAATCGTGAAGCGAGGTGAATGATTGATGACATGATGAAATTTTATGAGCATAAATTAAATTTTGGTGAATCCATTCTTTTTTTTTTTTAATCAAATAGTATTGTAAGTCATCAATTAATTCGCTAAAGTCGAATTCGTCACATGCCTCAAGAAGTTCTAAAATTTCATTTCCATCCAGATTATCTATGTTAAGAATTCCACTGTAAATATATCTATAAATAAAATAAAGTAATTTAAATTATTATAGTGATCATTCAATCAATTGATTAAATAAAAAATTAAATAAACTTACGTTAAAAAAATTTCAAATACTTTTGGAGAAATGTTTTTTTTTTCAAATAAAATAATATCATTATCAGGTTTTTTTATCCAATTGTTTGATAAAGCAGTTTTAAAATATGAAGACCTTGCCTTTAAAATGCTAGAATGAGCTCTAAAAGTCCTAACATTATCATCTGCTCCAACATTAATTTCTAAATCATAAGATTCGGGCTTATTCAATAACTTTGTCAAGTCATTTACAAGTCTTCCAACATATTTTAATGGAAGAGCATTGTTGTTGGAATTGATCAGGTAGTTAAATAATAAATTTAAGTTTTCTAATGATGAAAAGCAAGTTGTTGACATTTTGTTGAATAAAAAAAAATTATTTTCCGGTAGCAGTATTATTATTATAGCACAGAGTCGAACTTTATTTATTATTATCCTGTATAGCGAATAGAATGGTAGAAATTAGCATGTGTTCGCACAATACAGTTTCACTATTCGAATCATAGTATATACAATGAGCCTCGACTTAGCTTAATTAATTCCAAACTAGTAAATGCAGTTATGGGCCTGATAGATTAGAAAAATTCACGCTTGGTACTTCATTGGTTAAAGTTATTATTAGTGATTGAACAAAACCATCTCCTGTTGTTAAAAACTTCCAATACTTTTTTATTTGTACATATTTAAAATTTTTATAAAAAAGGAAACCTGGCAGTTCTTTTTTTTGGAATTTTTAAAAGGAAAATCCGAATTTTTCAAGTATTGTTTCCTTGAGTTAACTTGTAAAATACAAAAAGAAAAATGTAAAAAAAAAATATACCAATTTCATAAAAATCTATTACTATATTTTCAGGATAGTTTCTGGAATATTCATTTGTGTTTATGTCTACATTGTCGTAAGCAGTAGCTAAAAAGAAATTCAAGAATCCAAGTCGCTCATTAACAGAGGAAACATCGCCAACATTGATTGGTTGTAAGAAATAATTTTTTGCGTATTTGTAAAAAAAAAGCATTATTATTTTCAAATAAAACTTTAATTAGCATATCGGGTTCAATTTTGAAACCCATGATCTAATTTTTATTTTGTTTATTTTAATTTAAAGAAAATTTTGAAAGCTATGTAAAGGTGTATTCTTCCTCTTTGGAAATTCTTGATATAATAAAAAATAAAGTACAGTTCACTCTTTCTATAACAGCTCTGTTGTTTCAGCAAAAAAAAATCATTATAGAGAGAGATCGTTATAGACAGTATATGGTGTCCATTCGAATAAGGTTTATCAATTCAAGTTAACAAAACTCCCTCCAAACTATACCTGTGCTCTTAACAATAAGTTTTTCAATGACAACGTATGTAATGGAACCATTTGAGTAGGAATAGTCACAAAAATTTGTGACGAAGAAAACGTCCAAGTGACCTTCCCTACCTTGACCAGCATCAGTAAATCATTGTTCAGAAAGAAACATGTCTTTTCGAAATTGTTGGTAAGAGAGTATCGTGGAAACAATTCCTCTTCCAAAATACTTTTTCTTGACCATTCACAAGATACAAATGTTAATCTTACCGCACGTAAATTTGAATTTTGATGGGAACATATTTACTAAGGAACAAGTATATGTTCGATGAGCCGAGCTCCCTCATTAGAAAATTTAACAAAACAGTAAAAAAAATTAAATAAAATAAATCCGTCGTTGGATTAATTCTAATGATGTGAGCCAGCTAAGATGATTAAAAAAAAATTTCTCATGACATTCATGTTTATAGTTGAAATGGGTCCATATGCATTGCCTTGAATGACAAAAAAACATACATTTGCTCAAAAAAAATTTACAGTATTCATAGCAGGATTAAAAAATGGTTAGAGTTTCGTAATACAAATTTTTATTCGAATTATTCGTATCAATCTAATACTAATACTAATACTACATATGTAAACTCGATAAGTCGGTCACTCGATAAGTCGGTTTACTCGATAAGTCGGCCAAAAATTTCACCCCATTTTCTTAATATTTAAGTAATTTAATTCGATAAGTCGGTTTACTTGATAAGTCGGTCATATGAGCTCACCCTCACATGACCGACTTATCGAGTTTACATATGTAATAATAATAATAAAACCTAATTCGAATTATTTAGCATTAAGTTAAGTATGTATGTAAAGTCTTGAAGTCTTGTAAATATTAACAAAGGAATACAAATAAGGAAATTGTTTGCACAAAAAACTTCAACCGTTCTTATATATGTATTTTATATAAGTTTTAGTTTTACAAATCAATTTTTTTATTGTATATTTTAAATAAAACAAACAAACAAATAAACGTGGCCTAGCTATTTAATCTTTTCCTTATATGTGAATGCCTCCCATCCATTAAATATTCATGATGGTCATGATTATTATTCAATACATTTGATGTTAATAGTAATGATACCAAGGTCATGCAGTAATAAAACTTTTAATAATGCATGTCTACCCAGATCTCTGGGTTCACAATAATGAATAAAACCTGATGTTCACCATAGGTGTCAGATTTAATTAAAATTTTCTTATCACAAACAAATCAACAGGATGCTTTCACATCTCCTCATAACCATAGAATTTTTCCATAAACAAGGTAAAAACGTGTTTGTAGGCTTTGGACAAAACTTCCCTCAGACCAGGCTGGCTATTATCATATGGGCATTGATGGCTGGCGC